AGCCCAACTTCAGCGGTCCCAGCTCCGGGAGCCCTGCCTCCCAAGCCCAGTGTAGTGGTGGGACTTGAGGCAAGTCTTCTCCCCAACCGGGTCTGCCCCTTCCCAACCTAAGGAAAGGTTTCTCTCTTAAAGGCTCTGGGAAGTGAGATTCCACTCCTTTCCTTTTGGAGTCCCAACCTAATTCCTGTCGGGAATGTGAGTATCAGGAGGTTCTTCCTACAGCCTAACCGTCACACCTCCTCCTGCAGGCCAAGTCCATTTATAAGGTCTGTTAAACAAAAAATTGAACTTTCATGGCTGAATGTCCTTTTAAAAGAAAGGGTTTATTAGGCCATTGCTGGCAAAAGAAGGAGGAGGAGGAAGCAGAGGAGGAGGGAGGATGAGACTTTTTAAAATATATATATTTTTATTGATTTCAGAGAGGAAGGGAGAGAGAGAAACATCAATGAGAGAGAATTATTGATTGGCTGCCTCCTGTACGCCCTCCACTGGAAATCGAGCCCGCTACCCGGGCATGTGCCCTTGACCGGAATTGAACCCGGGACCCTTCAGTCTGCAGGCTGACGCTCTATCCACTGAGCCACACCAGCCAGGGCAGGAGGAGAGTCTGCTGCTGCTGGGCCCCGGGCACGGAGTCCGTGTCACGGCAGCTTGGCCAGGTGGGAAAGACAACGGTGCGTTGCCTGGAGTTTTGTGTGTTTGTACATCAAGTGGAGGGCGAGATGTAGCCTTTCTGGAAGGACTGACGTTACTGCGGACGAAGGGGCTGCAGAGGCGGAGGCAGGCAGTTCAGGCTCAGAGCCCGGGCAGAGGCGTGCCCTCTCGGACAGGCTGTAGGCAAGGCTGGAAAGTTCACGTGTAAATCAGAAGCAGAGGCCCCTGGGGTTCAGAGGTGCCTGGAGGTTCTCTCTGAATAATCGTGGACACAGCCGCCTGGAAATTAATCTGACATTCCTGCGTACACTGAGGAGTGCGAGCAGCCTTTGGTCAGACCTGGCCCATGGCTATGGACAGGCCACGGTTCTGTCTCTTTCTCTCCCTCTGGCCGCTGGGATGGTAATTTAGAACATCTGGGGGGGGGCGGGGGGAGGTTTTTTGTTTTTGTTTTTGGTCAGGTCCTAGAATGAAGAGATAGAGGATGTGGAAGAAGGCTTCTATTTCAGAGAGGGTATTCATGGTCTCTAAAACCAGGCTTTAATTCTCTAACCACGCAGTCAGGACTGCCATCACAGGCC